CGAGCTCACCTTGAGCAGTTCCTGTACGATGAGCGGTGCTTTCACGGAGGCTACACTACCTGTGGTTATCAGCAGGACGTGCGTGTAGCCTTCAGTGCGTTCCTTAGAGGCGATGAAATGATGATGGTCCATTCCGGGTTGATCATAAAGGTTTGAATCAGATTTACAGGTTTAGAAGTAGTGCGGCGGCCCGGCAGAATAGGGAATGGTGATCGTCGGAGTTTCAGCCGCAAGGGGATCTCCGGTATGGTATTTAAAGCGCTGACCGACAGGCTTGCCCGACCCTTTGTGCCCCTCGCCCCTCCACCTTTGTTCCCTTTCTTCTTTCAGAGCTGCGTAAGTTCATTCCTCCTTCCCCCTCGTTCTCGTTTGCTCACTTCTTTTTTTTTCCAGGCTCTTCCACTTTCAAAGTACTAGTTGCTGTCGTTTTTCAACTTCACCCTCTCTACAAGTTACAGTTGTCAATCATGCGCTTCTTTGCTCTTGCCGCTGCTCTCGCCTCTGCTTCGTCTGTCGCTGCTGAGACGTTCACCGTCGTTGTTGGTGGTAACAGCTCTTTGACATACAACCCAACATCGTACGTTCAGCGTCCTGCCTTGTATCGATATACCGACTAAGAGGAAATTCAGGGTCAAAGCCAAGGTTGGAGACACCATCCAGTTCCAATTGTGAGTGGTTGGTAGACTGCGAAGAAAGATCATGCAACTAAATATCATTCCAGTGTTTCCAAGAACCACGTACGAGTGCCTCCAGGTTCTGCATGCCAAACAAACCCTAATCGTTTTCATCACTTTCAGACCGTAACCCAGTCGACATTCGCCAAGCCATGTGAAAGAATGTATGTTACGATCTATGCCTCCTTTTTACGTGTTCGTACGGTTAACCCCCTTATGTTCAGGTCCACCCCTACGGAAGGCATTGACTCCGGTTATTTGCCTGTGGCCGCCAACGCCACCGAGTTCCCCGTTTGGAGTTTCTCATTGAACAATGACTCTGCACCTCTCTGGTTCTACTGTGCACAGGAACCGTATGTATCCTATCGATGGTCTCCGTCCGAATACCCCTGATTCAATTTTATTACAGTCACTGCTCGAGGGGAATGGTCTTCGCTGTCAACCCTACCGCTGACAAGACATTCGAGGCATTCCAACAAACCGCGATGGGCGGCGCTGCCGGAGGTGCAGGTGGTGCAAGTGGAAGCGTAACACCCACCAGTGGAGGTGCCGCACCCACTAGTTCCGCTGACCCCAACGGCAACTCTTCAGCAACCAACCAAGGACAGGCAACAGGCAATGGTGGCAATGGTGCAGGATCTCTCACGATGAACGCAGCTGGGCTTGTGTCCGTCGTTGGACTAGTCGCTGGTCTTCTGCTATAGGGTACATGGATCTCGCTTCGTTATAGTTGGACTCATTTCCGACGTAGTGTATCATCCCCTGTTCAGTTAATCAGCTACGACATCCTTTTTCCCTTCTCTATCTTGTTTGTGAGCGAACCGTCAATCGCAATGACTCTCACTAGTCTGGCGCTCTGCCTCAGACCTGTGTATGTAGTGCGTTCATTGTTGCAGCCTATCACCCTGGTCCAGCTATGCTGAGGTGGCAGAATGAATTATGCGCTACGCTATCAGGGGATTCGCAGTAGTGTACTCCGCCTTAATGCGGTTTGCATCAATCAAGGGTCCCTCAGTGGGCTTCGGAGATTCACGAATCTTGGGACGGTTAATCGGCACAACGGAAGCGGTTGTGCTGAGAGCAAACTTGCGGACGGCGGACCTCATAGCAGCAAAGAAGGGGCTCCATATTTTTTCGCTGCAGCTTCTCTATTTTGTTCACAGCTGCCTCCATATCATTCGAACAACCACTTGCTATTGAGCAAATTGGCGGTTTAGTTCCCCGAAGAGGTGAAGTCGGATGAACGAGACTTGTCACCCCTCTCCTTCCTCGAGCTCGTTGGCCTCAGCCACGATGGAAGGATGTATTGCATTTCTCCGGGGGCTCCGACTGAAAGAAACTTATGAAGTAATCGATTACTTTGTTCATGGTCTGCACTTATGCCTGCTCGACAAGAGATGCTACTTCGTCCGTTCGTCAGAGTGACGGTCAGTTAAGGTAGTAACTTGCTTTCAAGTCGGGACTTGGAATACCCTACATTTTCCTCTCCCGGCAATCCGAGTGTCAATCGTACCACTGGACTTGCGAAGGCTATGATTCGCCGCCAAAGCGTGCGCTCCTTGAACTCTTTTACAGGCATTGCGGTGTGGAAACCCATCCTTCCAAGGTCTCCTATTCACCTTGGCTGCAGCCTCCAGATATACAAGCGGTGGCTCAACAGGTACAAGAATGCGTGGAGGCGGGGCAGTGTAAGCCCGGGCTGTCGGTAACGAGTCGTAGGGTCTGAGTCTCGACGAGCCTCCGAAGCAACGGAAGAAGATTCGACTGCCCAGGTGCATACCAAACTCGAAGGTCTGGTGGGCTGGGGATGGTACTCAACTTCACGTAAAATACTCATGAGATTATCGATGCCGACAACTCGGTCTGCGTGAGAAGTGGGGTGGGCTGTTAATTTAGTTGACTTGCTATGAGGTGGTTGCTATTGTTGCTGTAAGCACTTATTAAAAACGTTATCATTAGCTTGGCAACCATCGCTCTGGAGATTTGAGGAGTAATTTGAAGTTACTGCGGTAACCGTCCTACAATGCACCTTCGAGTTTCAACGACGGGGGAGGGGGTCACTTGGACGTCGTGAAAAGTCCTTGACACTTAGCCTTCATCCCGATTGTTAGGTGGGTGTCCTCTCTCCAATGATTTAAGATCGGGTGAGCCTGTGAATGGTGAACGAGCCTTGGGAGCTTGAGTGCGGGAGCGCCCGTCAGTCATGAATGTCAGATAGCTATTTTGCGTTCCTGTTCAGTCGAGGTCCGGATCCGTTAACAGCGTGGATCGACGATCGTAATGCTGACGACCGAGAAGAAGCTCAATTTGAAGGATTACTTTGAGGGAATGCCTGAGATACACTGGAAGTGGATGAGTCGTGGATAGTACCTGTGGACCATTGTGGGCCCGCGGTTTCAGGTCCGGGACAGGTTGGTTGAATAGAGCAATTTATTCCCGCGCCAGGGGACACAACCGATCTCCTCCTGGTAGTCGTCTTCCTGCAACACTCCCCTGATTCTGTTTCCGCTTTCTAAACGTTTGCCTTGTTGGCCCCACGAATTGTGAGATCGTTTTACCTGTAAAAATATAAAATTTCATTGACCTTTCCCAACAGCTTCCTTTCCTGACGACCAACAGATTTACCCTTTTATTGAACAGCAGTGCTGTTACTTAGCTCGAAGCTCATAATTCCTTTTCCTTATTTCAACTTCAAGCTACTCTACCGTCGTGCTAGAGTCAAGTCGCTCCTTTAGCTATCTTCTCCGCCATGTCCACGACTGCCCAGCTCACTCACTCGCAACGAAACCGGTTGATCAAATCTACTCGTAAATTGGGGAATCTCCTCGGAGAGACACCAATGTGCGAAGACTCCAGCGTCGCGTCGACCTCATCGAAACCTTCAGGTCCTTCTCATCGACCAGCTTTGTCGTTGTCAGCAAAGTCGACTGCCATAGGGAGGCCCTCATTGTCACTTACCCGTCCTTCAACGGCACCTGAAACCACATTACCCGTACCTCCATTGCCATCCAGCCTCACCCCTTCGCCACTTGACACGCCCCAGCGTTCGCCGTTTTCACCGACGTTTGGGCCCCTCAATCGGGACAGTCCATTTTGCCCATCAGACTCGGAAACAGAAGCATCACACAAAGCGGATATGAGGAAGAAACTGGCTAAGCTGTGCAGAACGTTCGGCGAGAACGTTCCTGTCGAGCTCGTGACCATCAGCGATAGCCTGGAGGTAGGCGCCACGGGCGGTATAGGTACCAGACCTCCAAAGCCGTTGAAAAAGACCAAGTCCCTCAGGCTTCAAAGTGAGTTTCTTGCATTTTCGAGTATCTTGTCGCTCTAATCACTTCCCATAGGCTCCAAACCCTCATTGAAGCCCATACAACCAAATTCTTCCCCAACCCCAACACGTACTATTACTCGTTCGGCGTCCTTGCACACTTCGCTCCGCCATTCGCCTGCCCGTCATAGCCGCACGACTTCAGAGTATACCGGCAATATTGACAGGGAAATAGCCTTTACCAAACTCACCGCACAGTCTCAGGATTCCATTCCCCCTTCACCTCCCTTGGAACACTCGGGCAAACATGTCATGATGACCCACAGAAAGGGCAGAGAGTGGTCCGGCGAGTGGAATGCAGACGACATGGCTCAAGTTGTGAACAGGCTGAGGTCATTGAAATAGCGACCTTACCTTCTTCGTGGTCTTCGACAGGTTCAAAGACGCGTTTCTTGTCCCGCATCGGGTCGGGTCTTTCTCCGCTCTCTCCTCTGATTTGTATTTACCATCGTTTTGTGTTACGGTCTGACTGTTCGATGTTTTTCTTGGATCTTATCGGCCGCCTGGACATTGAGGTTGCTGAATTTCTGTGCTGGATCGACGCCAGTCTAACGTGTATCAATATTTTCGTTCAAGTCATCTATACCAACCTTTACATATCCTACCTACCGTAGTCGTAGCCAATCTTTCTACCGGATTGTCGTCAATCGAGGGGTCCGCCCTGTTTCAGCTCACGGATTATCCCTTCTGATTTTCGCCCTGGAATCTCGGGCGGACCACGTTCTCCTGTGCCCTACGTTGCGACGGGCGAAAGGGAGGGACAAACTGTGAGCTGGCAACCATGCTCTTGATTCTTAAATCACTTGGGCACTTGGAGGGCTCCCTAGAAACCAGTTGCTAGCTTCCAGGATGTCCTTAGAGGCTGAGCGCTGAGGTTTTGCCCTGCAATTGACTCGGCACTGATTTGCATATAACGGTACTCATTGAGCAATCCGTTCGGATAGGAGGAGGCGGATACCGGTTACTTACATATTAACAGAGATTAGCCCTTATGCAACGTCTTGGTCGATTAGTGGTTAAATCATCTCGTTGTGGCAACGCAATCCGAGAAGCCGAGGGCTCGACTCCCTCCCGAGACATGTTCTTTGGCGTCGGAGACCGTTTAGTTTTCTGTCCCAACTCCGAGTGTATTTTATTCTCAGCACAATGAGCACATCTTGTTATTTTTCGGCAAATGAAAGTCTGCTCGTTGCAGCCCTTTCTTCGAGTATCGTGCGTCGCTCCCGTGCTCGCTAGCTACTTAGTGCTAGCTCCATCAATTTTTCAATGTTTGATAGCCTCCCGATCACGATTACCGCCTTCAAATCAATCATTCTGAAACTCTTCAACGTTTTCGGTCAGCGTATTGATGCATCGCGGCGTTGCTAACCGTGTTGGTCCATGCAGAACTCCGCAAGAGCTCCGTTTAGGGTTCACGGTACTGTCTAGCTGGCGGCTCACAGACTATGCAGTGAGTATTCGGCCTCATGTGTCGAGACGACGATCTCACTCGCTGATAATAATGGCCGACCACCCAGCTCAGGCTGCGCAGTTGGAGTCGCGGGAGGAACCATCATACCAGTGCTATATTTGTCTGGCAACGCAACATCAACATTTAGCTCAACTGGGACTACGCTATAATCCGAGGATGATCATAAGAATATGATCTGTGAGGATTGAGGATGGCTTCGTCTTGGACGATACGCCTATGTACTTCTTGGGCAATTGTAAATGACAAAACAGCAATCTGGAGGCGTCGATACCAGTCAGATCATGACGTTGCAAGAGCGTTTTGGAAGGAAGCAGATGGGGCTCGAGGCAATAGGTCCATGCAGCTACAGTGCACGGATGCACCATTGCCAGTATTGAAACTGTGATTTTGATTGTCTTTTCGTGTTTCATTCCGGAACTGTTGAGAAATGATCATCGTACAAACGACCTGAGTACAGTCAACGAGGACGCTTTCACGTCGGGCTTGACCATCGGCTTTGCCGCGCCCCGACCTCGTCGGGTCTCGAGCGGGGACTCTGGACTACGGAATCCGGTTTCGCTGACGCTCAAATTTACCATAGGTAGCTAGGCCTCAGCGTCACACACAAGGAAGTCTCCCCCTCGGACGAGCGCTTCCCGACAACCTCGATCTCCAGTATCATCGCATCATCGCAACTATACTTAATCCACGGCCAACTTGAGCTTTGAGATCTGTGGTAATCGATGATCTTTGGAGCGCATTGAGTGAGTGGATGGCGCAGCTCGGTTGGGATGGTCCGTACTAGTCAGAGGAATTGGACGAGCGGTTAAACGTGAATTTCGCTGGCTCGATGGAGATGGGTTATCAGGATTCAGTATGTACTCACTCGAAGCGACTCTTTCGCGGGCATCGCCTCCACTCCCTCGAGACTCGGATGTAGTGCCTGGCAGCATTGTGGGTGACATTCCTCGTTCATGATTCCGACAAGTAAACGAATCCCGAGCTTAGCTGGCGTCCGCCGCCTTTATCACTTCACCGGAAGCCGCGATGAAAACCTCGGCTTGCGGTACAAAAACAAGTGAGGCAGCGTCGGGAGTCAGATGTGGAGCGGCACCGGACGAGGAACGGGAAATACGGGTCTCGAATTCGTATGGCTATCTTCGGCTATTGCAGACACAAAAGGTTTGGCACATCTAAGTGTGTGCACAAATGTTAGTCGCGGCAAGTCGATGTTAAGATATCATACCTACATCTGACGGTCGTTAGGACCAACCTGTGAGCATCAGGCGGTGATCCCCTCGAATTGGCCGCTATTGACCCGCTTGCTTCCCGTTTCGGTGAGTCGCGCAACTGTATACGCCACCAGGACGGACCACCCATCTGTGCTCCACTGCACCAGTTTGTCACCATTTCGTGCATAGCTTCCACTATGGCAACAGCGGAGATGCGAGCAGGACTATAAAAGAGAGTCGATCAACAGAGCCAGATTCTCAACCCTGGGGGCCAACTCACCTTTCACCTTTCTTTCTTCACCTTCTTCTTCTGCTTATCTTTTTTTTTCAACATGCCTGTGGCATCAACCCTTATTTCTCTTTCTCCTCTCACTCTCTTTATTACTTCGTTTGGCCTCCTGGGGGGGTTCATCGTCCTTGTTGTTCTATTCTTCTTCACGGTGACCTGTCTCAAGGCATATAGGGAACAGTCCATTCTCCCGAAAGAACTGCCCTTCCTCGGAAAGAAGGACGAGTTCCTTGCCTCGGTCCGGGCTAACGTTCGTGGCGCAAGCGACTCCTTCAGGCTCTTCACAGAGGCCTATGAACAGGTAAGATGGTATCTTCTTTGGAGGTGTCGTAACATACTCACCTTCTCCCAATAGTACTCCGTCAAGGGCTTGATCTCTATCGTTCCTACATGGACGAAGGGTCCCCAGATTCTCGTCCCGCCCTCCTTGATCAACTGGCTTGCACATGAGCCCGAACACGTTCTGAACGCCAGAGACTGCACATTCGAGGACATGCAATTCGCTTACACTACGGCACACCCCGAGATCATGAACAACGATATGTTGGACCTCATGATCAAGCGCGAACTGACGCGTCATGTCGGAAACCTCAATGACAAGATCTGTACTGAGGTCGACGTCGCCATGGGTGAAATGTTCGGTACCGGGGATCTCGCCGAAAACGGTGAAGGTGAATGGAGGGAGGTTGGCGTCTGGGATAGCTCGATCAGACTTGTGGTCAAGGCAGCCAATAGCGTCTTCGTCGGATCTGAACTTTGTGAGTATCTCGGATTCCTTCCCACCTTATTTATATGTTGAGCGTTCTTGGTATAGGCCGCAACGAGGAATACACCGAGGCATGTGTCTCTTGGGTTTGGGACGTGGCTGCTAGCAGTGCAATGATGCACATGTTCCCCAAGTTCTTGAAACGGTAAGTATTTCGGTCTGGTGCAATCTGCGCTTGTACTCACCTTACCATAATCCAGCCACGTCTCCAAGCTTGTCACGTACAAGAACCGCCGCGACGCCAGAGTCAGCATGAAGCACACTCTCCCTCTCGTTGAAGAGCGGCTCGCTAACATGACCCGAGCGCGTGAGGACAAGACGTTCGAGTACGAGGCACCCGTAAGCGTTTGCATCTCGTGTTCCTTTTCGCTTGTGGCACTGACCGCGTCTTTCATTAGAACGATCTGATCACTTGGATGGTCCAAGAATCCTTCAAACGTACCACCGAAAGTGAAACCTCGGCCCACTCGCTCGCCTATCGCATCCTTCTCCTCAACTTCGCCGCAGTTATCACCTCTACCATCGCCACCGCCAACGTCATCCTTGATATAATGTCCGCAGACCCTTCTGAGAATGTCGTCGAGATGCTCCGTGAGGAAGTCGAGCGTGTCTACCAGGAACACGGCGGAGTCTGGTCCAAAGCCGCTGTCGCGAAGCTCGTCAGACTCGACAGTGCTCTCCGAGAATCTGGAAGATACTCTTGTGTCGGCGGTTCGGCTGTCACGAGAAGAGTCTGGGAGGACGATGGTATTGTGATTCCTGTCAACGGAAAGGAAGGGAAAGGAGTCTGGGTCCCCAAGGGAGCAACCGTCGGTGTCGCACAGGCACAAATCCACTTCGATGAGAAGTACTATGGACCGACTGCCGACAAATTCGACGCCTTCAGGTTCTCCAGGCCCAAGGAACAGGGATTGTCGACCACGAATGAAGATATGGTTACCACCTCTGCGCATTACTTGACGTTCTCGCATGGTGTCCATTCTTGGTGAGTCATCCAACACGTCTGTCCTTGAGATATTCGGATACTGACCAGGTTATCAACCCGCACGGCGCAACAGCCCCGGTCGATTCTTCGCTGCCAACGAGCTCAAGCTGATCATGGCGAATATGCTTCTCAACTACGAGATCCAGCCAATGGCAACCCGTCCAGTCAATGAACAACTAGGAGATGTTAAAATTCCACCAAGAAAACAGACGATGATGATTCGCAGAAGGTCGAAGGTGATGGATGTTTGAGTCCCCGAGTTGGATTAATCAACTTAATAGTCGCTCTCTATCGTATTGTTTCCTATCACTATTGTGCATTAATTTGTAGTTTTAGTGCCAAAACAAACTTGAAAACACTTACTGAAAATGGTGTTGACGAGATGAAAGGTGTCGGTGAGCTGTTGGCACAATGAAAGACGCGACTGGGCGCTACTTATTGGGTGAGCTTGCGAGTCTTTTACTTACTGGGGCCCAAACAGATGGTGTACAGCCACATGAGCTGGTGTGACAATTTGTCACATTTGTAACTTGCGCGCGCGAGCCACTGTGCCGCCCGTGCCACCGCGGATCCACAACTTGTGTAAAACGGTTGGTCTTTCGCGTCTTTCCTGTCGTCTTGTCATTGTCCCCCATCTATCCAACTTGCCCTCATTCTGTTTGTGTTCATTTGATTCCCAAATTGTATTCAAAGTGCATGCAGCATTCATGGTGCTGGGAGTGCATTTGTGTGTAGTTTTAGGGTGATTGGTGTGTTAAATTATGTCTGATCTGATAAGAAAATTCTAACCACACAACAGTTCTTCCCTGGCTGTCACTTTTTCTGGGTTTTGAGTTTCTTCTGATAGCCAGTGGTGTTTGCTCCAATGGACAAATCTGGTTTTGATTTTGATCTATACAATGTTGCTGGTCTATCACATATGTAGCCAGCAATGCACGTAGTGTAATAAGGCAAGCTCCCCCACCTCACCATGGGTACTTGCCCATGGAAATCCCTATGTTGGCGCTAATCACGATGACGTTCCTGAGCCGGTAATTTTTAGCCTCCAGCCACCAACAGGCATCAAACCTCAATAAACTCGTTAAAACGAATGAAAGACGAAAAGACTCGGATTGGGTCAACTAGATACATTGAAATCAACAAGTGTATAGATACAAAGCAACGCAGTGTTCATAAAATTCGTGATGGTCGTAAATGGTCGTGACTCGTGAAGGATTCGTATAGATACCGAATAAAGATACTAAGTGCTAAGTACGAATTAAGAACAGGACCAAAACGAGCGGGACAGGGATCGGGGAAGAGAAATAGGAAGAGAATAGTGGGATTCTAGATTCTAAGAAGTCCAATGCGGGGGGAA